AATTCTTTCCCAAAAAAGCTTGATTGGAGAATAGGAGAAATAACTCCCAAAGACAATTGAAGATAAGTCAAAATATGGTACAAACAATTTATATAAATTCTACACACCAAGTTTAATATCATTTATAAATGTGCCCAAAAAGTTACACAAGGGATCATATATAGTTGTTCATCTCTTATTCACTCGCTCACCTAAGAAATGTGAGACTAAATTCTTTTCTAAAGGCTATGTATCAAATTTCTTAACTTCAAGTCTCACCTAACCCACTTTTAATTACATTTTTAAGTGTTTATATACTAAAAAACTCTTAATGTTGCAACCAAGAGTTGAAGCTTAGACCTCCTTACATGTTTTAAGTGCTTTGACTGAATTTTAGAAGAAAAAATTATATATTCCCTTTTTGTGGTACAAAGACTTGAACCTTGTCCTTTTTTTTTAAGTGCAGCACCTTCAAGTCCCATTTTCTCTAAATTTGGCTTGCTTCAAATATTTATATATGTGAAACCTCTATAAAGTTACAACTAAGAATTAAACTTGGATTTCTATAGCTTGTATGTGGTTGAGACTATGCTTTAGGACAAAATATAACTTTTCTTTCCGTTCACCCGAATGTTGTTCCTTTCTTTAACATTCTGTCTCCTCCAAATCCCACATTACCTTGGGAAAAATGTTTTCCAATATTTATATACCAAGTGAGGTGAGTGATGGAGTGGTTGTGAACTTCCCCTTTCAATTGTTGGGTTGTTTGTTTACACAACAATAAATTTTTTCACCGTAATATACTTGGAAATTAATGTTTGAAAATAGAAAATATATAATTATAAAATTAAAAAAATCCATAATAATATAAAATATTGTAAAGTACTAACTTACATAATGCCACAAGAAATATAAACTACAACAAAACATAATACAGCCAATATTTAGTGACACAGTTCATTAATTCACTTTTGTTCAACGTTCGTCATCAACTTCATCACCTCTTCAAACCTTCCGCACACAGCAGAATTAAGATCACTTTCCTCACGGCGTGTACCATTTTCTGTAGAATATCACTTTATTGTAATACAACAGTGATCAAGTAAGGTTCTAAATTTTTAAAAATTAAAAAACTTAAATTTTAAAAAAAATGAGTAAATAAATAAGGCCTAACTGTGTTTTAGGTCGGAAATTCTTGATTTAATTTTATTTTTTATTTTATAAATCAATTTTAAAGATAATTTAAATAAAATATTTTTTTAAATAAATTAAAAAGAACTTGTTTAATAACTTTATTTTTAAGTAGAGGAAAGAAAATGATATTAATATAGAGGAAAAGTCCCACAAAAATTAGAAAATAATTGAGATAACTTAATGATGATGAAAGTGGGAGATGACGAATACTATAATAAAAATATAAAATAAAATAAAAACATATTTTATTAATTTGATTTTTTTTTCTTTTAAAAAAAATAAGAACAATTCTTAGAAACCAGTTTATAAAAAAAATCATCAAATAAGTTTTTTTAATTTTTAAAATTTATAAACTAAAAACTATTTTTAAAAAATACTAAACTCGTGTACACATGTTTGTGTTCAGTTTACACCTTATATCTATGTCTATTAGAGGCATGTGAAATTGTTTTAGAAGTCTTTATAATTAAATATGATCCAATCAAGTATTACTAAACAAATATTAATTTTATAAAGGAGATATCAATAAAACAAATATTCATTTTATAAAGTAGATATCAATATGGAAATAAAAATTCATCTATATATATTTAGGATAAAATGCATAATTTAATAGGAAAATTATTTTTACAACAAATCCTGTAACTTCACCTTGTAATGGACAATGTAATCCATCAACAGTGAATGTCTCTTTTTTAAAATAGTAATAGCATATAAACCTATCCATATACATGATAGAGAATTTTAACATTGTAAATGAATAATTTTTTCATTTGAAAGAATTTATGATAAACATTACCGTAAAAAATTCTTCTAAAGAGTTATTTTGCTGATAATAGGTTATCAAATTATGATAATTTTTCTATCCAATATAGACAATTTTTTTAACCATCACCAATAAAATTAAGACTTAAACATTTGCCAATGCCATGAAATATGAAATATAAGTCATAGAAAATAATTATACTTGAAATATGACATCTAGGATAAAGATTTAAAATCCGACTAGTAATATTTTAAAATAATCAAATTGAAGGTTTGACTATAATAAAACATTCACTTTATATATATATATATATATATATATATATATATATATATATATATATATATATATATATAAATAAAGTTATACTTCAAAATTATTTACCGTTTGAAACAAACTTCTTGGTTTGCCAAATTAATCAACACTTTAAAATAATATAATTTTGAACAATATTTTTCTTACCATTATTTGTTTAGTTTAATCTACTTAACAGTTTATTTCAATATTAATGTTTTGATGCATGCCGATGATTTTATTATTATTATTTTAGAACATGATAGTGTTGTCGTACTTGCATTCACACTTGTTTATATGTAAAGTGATGTTGACTTTTTGATTTTTTTTTTGACATTGAATTTGCTCGAAAGGTAACATGGACCATACTTGCACTATCTACTATTTGAAAGGTAATCCGAGCTAAAGAATTTTGCTTTGTATTGACTGCAATATTTAGCTTTCTGTTTGTTGTGACTTTGACTTAACAAGTTTAGACGTTCACTTACTGGTTGATTTGTACTTACTGATAATATTCTTATTTCTTGACAAATAAATAAATAACACATTGTCTTTCATTCTTTTACTGAAGCTAAATATCAATCTATGACTTTGATAATCTGAACTAAAATGGTTAAAAGCTTTACATCTCTCCCATTGAATTTATCATTCATCTCCTATATGAAACTGAAACTATATTGTAATACTTGATAGTATTGTCAATTTAAGAGTGGATAAAACACATTGAACTAAATTTGTCAATGAAAACATACAAACTATTAGGCATTTGAAACAGGCATGTGACAATTTAAAGGAGAGTATTAAACAAATATCTCTCCATTTGACTAAAATTTCTTAAATCATATTAAAAAACATTTGATTGTAATATTCTTTCCTATATCCTAATATGATGAAAAATATTATATTTAATAGCAACTATATTTAAAAATCTACACATTTGTGCATATATATATATATATATATATATATATATATATATAATTAATTCATTGTAATGAGTCACATAATATAATAATTATTTTGCTGTTTTATCTTTGACAATGTTTCTCATGTGAGAATCCTGAAGTGATGATTGTTAAAAGATAAAAAGAAAAAAATTATAGAAGAATCTATTATAAATAAAATAAATCATTATCTTCCATTTGAATAGTTACTCGTTTGGATACAAAACTTGGATATACAGTGCTTCAGTCGAATCATAGTGATAAAAAAATCTTGGATTCCAGAAAAAAAAAAGACAACAGAATAGGTGTTGTCGATATCAAAGCAGACGACTGCAAATATTTAGCAAAATTTTGTAACAGCGTCTGAACTGAGAAGGTTGGGAATTGGTTTTTCCTTCCGGTGGACGAGATGTGCAGTGTAATGTTGTTTGCTTTTGCATTAATATCTAGAAGAAATAATAAATACCAATTTTAAATTTTATATAAAATATAGCAAAGAAAAAAATAGTACTTTCTACCGAAAATATAAAAGCCAAAAATCTTATAAATAAAATAAATCCATATTTTGTTAGATACTGAATATTCAAATGAACACATATCACCATATATATTACATTACATGCACTGTTCTCTCCGTTCTTATTTTAAACTCGTGATTTTGAATAATTTGTGATGCATCATTTACCATTCTTTCAATATTTTTCATTCTTATGAAATGAAGTGTTTTATTAACTAAACAAACTTGTAATAATAATTTAGAGAAACTATGACAAGAAAACACAAACCAAAATGATTTAAATGCCCACCAACTAACGTTTAGAACCTCGATTGTATAAACTCTGAAAACAGCAGTGCATGCAAATACAAACATTACTGCACCGCACATCTTCACCACTCTTCTTATTTCACACAGCTGTTATGTAGTTTTGAAATGCTTTTTATTTTCTTCTTTGACGTTAATAACAATGTTTGTGTATTCACAGTTCGAAGCCTTTTCATCCACCATGCTTCCATTATAACTTTTTATAGTTCTATCTAAATATTTATATATAAAATCATTATATACAATACAATCAAGTATTACTAAAAAAAACATTAATTTTCAAAGGCGAGATCAATAAAAAATAAAAATTCATCAATACATATTTGGGACAAAATATATAATTTAATAGAAAAACTATTTTTATTGTACCTTCTATGTGTACTGGACTACTAAAATAATTGTATCCATTATTAGATCAAATAAAAAAGATATAGTCTAATAATAATGTCTTTAAAATAGCTAGAAAAATTATTTATTATTTATTTGTAAATTAATAATTTAACATTACTGTTAACTGTTTCTAATTTTAATGAATTGTCCTAAATGTTTCAACAAATTATATAATGTATATCAGTAATTATAATGATTTTTCTTCAAAATAAGATACTAATTAAATTAAAAATAATTTTACTAACATAAAACTTAAATTTAAATATAAAATAATAGATTAATGAAATTACAACGGTTTTTTTATCTATAAATATGACAGAAATGTAAGGGCTGTTAGTAATACTTTATAGTGTCCTGCTGTGTGATTCCCTGTCCGCATTCCTCTTCTTCAAGGTCATTTTTTGTTGTTGTGGACTCTACTCTACTAGCTTTTGTTTGTTTATTACTGTGTGAGCAAATATAATGGCTGCTGAAAGGTCTGAAATTTCAGAAGTTGTTACACAAGTGAGTTTTTTTTTATGATGCTCATTTCTGCACCATTTTTTGTATTGGGTTTTACCAGTGTTTCTTGCTTGATTATGTATTGTTGTCTGATGTTTATTCCATGCAGTTAACTGGCAAACCCCCATTAGAAAATCTAAATAAACATGCAGATGGTTGTGCTGCCGGAGTTGCCACAGAAGAGTTGAGTGAGTCTTGCTCTAGTGGAAAGGACAGGTAATTATTTTTCCTGTGTCAGCTACTTGTGATTCAGAGTTTTCAATGCTTTAATAACATTTTGCTTGGTAATGTCTTGTGATTTTGAGCTTGTTTTTTTTTTTTTAACTACAGTATTATCAGGGATGCAGAAGAGAAGGAATCTATCACTCCTAAAAAGGTTGTTATACCTTGATAATTAAAGTGAACCTAGTAAGAGATTAGTAAAGGTGTATATGAACTGATATCGTTTGAGAACAAAGAATGTTGCTTTTTACTGCCTGAACATTGATCATCAACAAACAGTTATATCTTGATTTTAACTCATGGTGTGCATGTAAATTATGATGTTCCAAAACCTTCAAGTTGAAGGAGTACACAAAAGTGGTGCATGACCGTATTCCTTATAATATACTTGGAGGATAACTATCTGTAAATTTTGCCTTCAAGAGGAAACAATTTTGGCTGGATCATCCTCTATGGAAAGTTTGAGTTTGACCCAATTTAAAAATTGTAAAATTTTTCCACGGGCAAAAACTTATATTGAACTTTATATTACTGTAATAGCTCTATTTTAAATCTTAATGAATACACTCTTAATTTGATTTTATTGCAAACTTACAACTGCTTATGTACAATACTTGGAAGTGGTGAGTGAGAAAGAAAACTCTGGGTATTAATTTGTTGTATCTTATTAAGACGGAAAGTTAGTATATAATACTGTTATTTAGGGTTCTTATTTTCTGAAGAGTTTCCTCATTGAACCAGCATGTGGTAATAACCAGAAAGTTTACTTTAATTTCGTCCTTTTAATATGTGGTGGCCTTTTGCATTATTGCGGAAGTTTAATTTTTCTTTGTGTATTTTTGTTTTATCATGATTTATTTCAATGATTCTAAACTTTCTTGAGTTAAGTTTCTAAGTTGTTTTTCTGATCTGACTTTTATACATGTAACTCTAATTTTGCTTAAGCTGCAACGAGATGTAGGATAATGGTTCATTTAATTTACAGCCAAGGAAACTCGAAATGTCTGGTGACGGACATCCGTATGCACCTGAAAATTGGCCAGAACAGGGCGATGTTTGGGGGTGGAGAACTGGAAGGAGGATTGTCCCGAACGGCACGCACTTTCAGAACCGGTATCTATATTTGCCATATCGCCTCCGCATGTTGATGGAGGAGAAGGAGAACAAAGGGTCAGGTTCAAGCACATCCCGCAAACAACACGTCTTTGCAAGCAAGCTTGCCGTTAAACGCTACGTCAAGAGATATTTCCCAGACGCTGATCTTAATGCCTTTTTTGCTTCTTTCTCCTGGAATATTCCCGCTCATCCATCTTTATCAGGTAATGGTCTCTTTTCTCCTGTCACTTACTCCTAAATAATATCCAACGCTTCTTAACAGAATTCTTCAGATGTTGGGTTTATCTATTATTTCATTTGATACAAGCATACCCCTTTTCTCTATCAATTTACTTTATTTCATCCTTTTAATTTGCTTGTTAAATCGATATCACATTGCTGAATAACTCTTGATGTTGTTCTACATCACTGACAATGCAGCGCCAATAGCTGCCATACCTCTTCGACAAATAGCACCACAAGCACAACAAGCAGAAGAAGCATGTAACTCCGATAGTGGAGACGATGTCAAGTGTAAAGCAAATAATAGGAAGTGCCCTACTATAGTACTAGAGGAAGAGGAAGTACAGAAGTATTCACCAGTCATGCCTTGTCGTATTTGCTGTTCTGAACGTGATTTTTGCGTTTATTGTTGCTGCATTCTTTGTGGCAAAACTATTTGTACAGCATATGGTGGCTTTAGCTATTTCAAGTGTCCAGTGAATGCTAACGGCGGAATTTGTGGCCACGTTGCTCATATGGAATGCGCTCTCGAATGTTTTGTGGCTGGTAAAGTTAGAAGTTTGGGGCTGGATGCCGAATATTATTGTCGACGCTGTGATGGGAGAAGTGATATGATATCTCATGTTTACAATCTCATTCAAACATGCAAGACTATTGATTTGGATTATGAAATTAAGAAGATTTTGTATATCGGTGCTAGTCTCATTCGCGGTTCAGAGAGACCTCTTGCAAATAAGCTACTGCGGTCTATTGATTTAGCAGTCTCAAAGGTATTTTTATTGATATTCTGGTAATAGAAATTGAAACTGCCTTGCTTGTTCTGTCTTGCTAATTGTGAAGGCTAATGACCAATTTGATGATTTACTTCAGCTTATATCTGGAACTAATCCTGCAGACATCTGGAAGGTGGATGCTCATTCTATGGGTAAATATCCTGAGCTATTATCTATACCGTCTATTTTTACTATTTTCGGCTGCAACTAATACAATATCATTGCTTACATGCATATGGAGGTGCAAAACTTTAGGTGTCAGAATTTCTAAAAGACATTAGAAATAGGATGACCATTTATCATCTGAGACATTTGTGACAAATCTTGTATATTCTATTAGTGGGTGCATTCAACTTAACATACTGACTATCTTTGTGTTTATTTATCAGATACTGAAAATTTTGGTCCATGAACAAAATACATTGGTTAGCCAAATGTCATCTGCTGCCTCAGAGGTCTTATATAGTGCTATAATAGAAAGAAAGAAACAGATAAGACGGGAGCTGGAAATATTTGACACCATGAAGAAGGTGGCCATTGATGGTATTAGTATAGACGCAGAGATATTTTAAAGGAACACTTTGGCATTTGAGAGATAGATTAAATTGACAAATATTAGAGGTTGTAAACCATTTAAGTTTTGTGATTTACCTGGTTTTAACATTAAACTGTATTTTTTGCTTTCATCATAGATATTTTGTCAAACAAAATCACGTGGCATTTGTCTGAGGCACTATATAATCCGGTAAGTTATGTGGAAACATTAATTTGTTATGCGGAAACATTGATTTTGGTAAGGGTTTTTATTAAACTCAGCATCAAATAGATCTTTCCAATATTGAATGCATTGGCAATGAAAATCTTAAGAGACACTCGTGTCATACGGAATGTCTAGGTTTCATCACTTACGAAAAGTCTGAAATTGATCGACTTGTTTTGTAAATTTTTTTCATGAAATATATCTTTTATCCAAAGCCTGAAGTAAGTTGAAATATTGACATTTTGCACAGGTATATAAGAAGATCAATTATCTATTTTCAAAAGATTGAATTTAAAATTCCAATTTAAAAGTGAGAGAAAAACATATTTAACTTATATATTATTTACAGTTGGACAAACCGTGAGAAAAAAATATTTATGTCAAACAATATATCACCAGTTTAAGAATATTTTATAATAATTAAGTTTGGTTGTAATTCATCTAATAGTTGTATCTTTCTAATGATTCTGTAAAAACTATAAAATTTTAGAGATTTATTTTTTATTAATATTAATGTCATATTTATACATTTTATATATTTTTAACTACAATATTAAGTTAGAAAATTTCAACAAGTATACTAAAAATGCCCAGGAATATAAGAAGATCAAGCTTTGTTACATGGACTTGTTCTCATGAATCTTGTTATTTTTATTTTCAAGATCTTCTCATGTGTCACTTGATTTTGGGAATTAATTTTGTTGCTAAAGTTGATTCCAAGGTTGTGAACTAAGATAGTATTAATAAACAGTTTCTGTTTGCATCAATTTAAACAAGGTAACCCGAGGATAGTCAAATTTGGAGGGTCCAAAATCTAATTCCAAGGCTCATTTAAAGTTTGTCATGAGGGAAGGGATGAATACGATGCAATGTTGACTTAATCAAAGAATAACTTTGCTATTCATTAATATTTTAGTTTGAGAACCTTTTAATTACAATATTATTATATCTTATCTGTTCATATTAACAGTTTTATATAGAATTGCAATTCTATATACCTTTGAAGATTGGTGCTGCTTTTGGTTACGAAATCTATGGAAGCTCTGCATGACCTTAGACATTGTCACAAACCCTAGACTTATACTATAAAAATCACTTGTTTTTAAAACCTTAATTTTATATTTTAAAATTCTATAATGATAAATTTTAAAATACTAGTCTTCTTATTTCACACATGTACTGTGTGGTTTTGCCAAATGTTTTTTTATTGTCTGATATTAATAACAACTATTATGTTTGCTCATCTTCTTTGTGTTTAGAGTTTCAACGTAACCCATAAAGAAAAAATGTGATGCATTCTATTCTATTGTTGAGTGAATTCAACTTAAACATTCTGAATATATGTTTATTTATCAGATAATGTCAATGTGATGCAAGATACAGTTAGTGATGATCATTTTGAAGTTAAGACCGGAGCACAAGAGCTTGAATATAAGATGGTTGAGGAAGCACTCGAGGCAAAAAAAAAAACGGTTTACAAAATTTGTATAAACTGGACTATTTAAATCAAATATCATCTGATGTCTCAAATGTCAACTCTAGTGCTGTAAGAGAAATAAAGAAACAGTGACGAAGGTCTTTATTATTATTAATAAGTCTAAACTTATCTATTTATTTATTAAAAGTTTTGTTTTAAATCTTTGTCTAGTCTATTTAAAACCCTGAAACCTCATTCATGTGACCTATTTAATAAAATTACCCATAAGCAATAATAAGCCTATTTAGGCCAATAAATATAGTATTGAAGGAAAAGAGAAAAATTCAACAAACAGTAAATATATTAAAAATGGACAGGTATATGAGCAGATCAAGCAATGCAAGTATATTCGAACTTAGTTAGAAATATAGCAATGTCAGATTTGATGATCTATATCTCCTATTCTAATTTTCAATTATTGTTGTTGCTAACATTGATACCAAGACCCTCGTGATCAATGCAACTACTTCATCTATCGTGTGTAATCACTGTGGATATATAGGGTACACTGAGAATCTTTATTGCCATAAGCATTTTCTTTAAATCTGGAGAACAAAAGCCATAGGAATTCGTTCTATCAGAATGACTATATCTGCATCCATTGTGGAAGAAATGCTCGTATTATGATGAGAAAAATGCTTTTGTGAATAACACGATGATGAGTGATTGTAAAGTCACAAACCTGATCAACAAAAAACTATTGAAAATCAGGAACAAGATCAATACTGCTTGATGGCTTTAATGCAGCAATCCACCAATGGAAGCTCAACTTCTAATCTTATACACTAACCAAATTAGCTCTATTTCTTGATGTCCCACACAGTCTCCATCATTCTTAGGTACTTGTTTTTCTATAATCAGTTCTATCAACACATGCAGCATCACATCGTGGATCATAGATTCAGACCCCAGTCATTGATCTGTTTCACTTTCATATTTTACATATAACATATTAATCCTGTTGTTGTCAACTTACCCATAAATCAACAAGTTATTACAACTCATTCCCACATAGTAAATATATAGTTGTTTTTCTTAACTAATATTCTTTAAATACATGAATTCACCTTCAATTTAATCTTTATTTTTAAATTGGTTTCAATAACCAAATATCCTCTAAAATCTTTCATTTTCTATTTTAAGTTTATCCTCTTCTTTTCGTTACCACTGTCTTTAAAGTGTGGTTCGTTTCAGCTTAAAATTCTTTCATGATAACACCAAATATAATGGATGAATGCCATAATTGTACAATAATGAAATGACATGAAATATAATACTGTTATTTAACATTAGAGGTTTAAATATAATTCTGTCATACCCATTTGTTGAGTCATATATTTGATATTTGACTGTCCCTGGTCTATGGTAACTTTTTTCATGTTCTTGTTTTTCCTCATAGTCACTCACATGTGTTGATTCAGCTTTTATTACGTTAGTTTGAAGTTTTAATACAGCCTCTCTAATAATTAGAGGTATAAATATAACCATAGACTTTGAATCCAATCACTACTGACTCTTATTCTTAAAATAATAATAGAAATTTGATAAACTTTAGAAATTGCTAAAAAATTACTTATTATTTATTCGTAAATTAAAAATTTAAGGTAATAGGTTAATCAAATTTTAATTTGTTAGTGAATTGTCCGAAAGTTAGATACAAATTCAACGAATCTTATAATATATATTAGTAATTATTTCAAAAATTTTAATGTTTTGTCTTGAATATAAGAAATTAATTAAATTAAAAGGTAATTTTACTAACCAAATAACTTAAATTAAATATAAAATAATAAATGACTGAAACTGGGTTGTTTTTGTTTCCTATACATATTACTGAAATGTAGGCTTGTTAGCAGTACTTCTATTCCTTGGGCACCGCTGTGTTATTCCCTAGCGGCGTTCCTGTTACTCAAGGTTTTTTTTTCCTATCTTCTTCCACTGTATTAATCAAACTATTGTTAGCTACGTATATGGAGTAAGGTTTATTTACTCTACGCTAATCGATTTTGTTTGTTTATTAATGTGCTTTGAAGTGAGCAAAAATAATGGCACTGAAAGGTCTGAACTATCCAAAGATATTGCATAAGTGAGTTTCTGTGCATGATGCACATTTCTGCTACACTTTTTGTATTGGGTTTTGCCTCTCTATTGACAGTGTTTCTTGCTTGATTATGTATTGTTGTCTGATGTTTATTCTATGCAGTTGACTGCTAAAATCCCATTAGCAAATCTGAATAAACATGCAAATCTAAACTAACATGCAGATGGTTGTGATGTAAGTTTCTGTGCATGATGCATATTTCTGCTATATGTTTTTTGTATTGGGTTTTGTCTATGTTGACGGTGTTTCTTGCTTGATTATCTATATTGTTGACTGTTAAAACCCCATTAACAAATCTAAACAAACATGCAGATCTGTCAGTGTTTTCTAGCTAAAAAATCTGAAATGATCAAAGATGTCAAGGAAGTGAGTTCTTTTCATGATGCCCATTTCTGCAAGGTTTTCTTGGGTTTTGCCTATGTTGCTATATTGTGTTGTCTGATATTTATTTGAAGCAGTTGATTGGTAAAACCCCATTAGTGTATCTAAATAAACTTAAACACCATTAATGTATCTAAATAAACTTGCAGATGGTCGTGTTGTCCGATTTGCTGCCAAACTCGAGTTGATGAAACTTTATCCTTTTCTAACGCAAACGACAGCTAACATTTGTCCGCCTTTGTTACTGAGTTTTAAATCTTTATATTAGTAGGATTATGTTTGGTATGACTTTTTTGTGATTTTGTATTTTTTTCTCGTATAGGAACAAGGGTTTTCAAATATTGTAATGCTTTTTTAAATATAAGAAATTAATTAAAATAAAAAAGTTATTTTACTAAAAAAACCTTCAATTAAAATATAAAATAATATATTGATGGTACTTGTTAGTTTCTCCTATTTTGTACTTTGTTGACCATCCCAGTGTTATTCTCTATAGTGATTCCAGTTCCTCTAGGACACTTTTGTTTTCTATGATTTTTCACTGTATTAATCAAATCATTATTAGTAGTAAACTATTAATTGTTAATTAGGTATCTGAAGGAGCGTTTATTTGCATTTTATCAATCCCAACATCAACATCATTGGTTGTTTTGTTCTTTTATTCTTAATGGGTGTTGTGGGCTTTATGCTAATAGTTTTTGTTTGTTTGTGTGTTTTGTAGTGAACATATATGATGGCTGTTGAAAGATCTGGAATTGGTAAAGATGTTAGGGAAGTGAGTTTCTTTGCATGGTGTCAATTTCTGCGCAGTTTGTTGTATTGGATTTTACCTCTGTTGTCAGTTTTTCTTGTTAGATTGTGTACTGTTGTCTGATGTTTATTTGATGCAGTTGATTGATAAAACCCCATTAATGTATCTAAAACTTGCGGATGGCTGTGTAGGCCGTGCTCTGAAGTAAAAGAGATAACTTTTTGTGATTGATTTTGAGCTTGTTTTAAATATTGTCTTTAACACACAGTGGTTAATTTTCTCTTTGCATTGTGAATGTTCAGGTTCACGAAAGACTCGAGATTGGTGGTGATTTTGTTCCTGGTGTCTTGGAAGTCAATCTTATTGATAAAGTCGTCAAAGTAAGTTTTAATTACGTGGTTGATAATAATTACATTATTCAAACTATCATGTAATGGTTATGAAATAGTTATTTCAATGTTAAAGTTGTTTGGAAATACCTAGCTTAAAATAAGTATTTATGAAATAAGTGATTCTTAAAATAATCACTTATTGATACAACGTTCACTTAATCAAAGATTTTTTTTTTTTTATTTATTGGTCCTTTTAGCTTGAGAACCTTTTAATTATTTTCTGACAAACTTTCCCTATGCAAGTTCTGAGTATTATGGATAAAGTTACAGATTGTTTTTTCCATCTTCCACCATGATTCTAGTAAGGCACTATATGCCTAAGTGTCTATAAGTTATATCTAACAGGGAAATTTTTCGTAAACAATTATTAAAATGGAGGGGAAATATTTATTTTCTTTAAATCCAATATATTATTTTGTAACTTATTTAGCTCATTTAATTTGAAATGACTTTTTCCTTCTATCTCAATTATCCTATACTATTTATAATGTATATTTATTTTGCATGTAAAATTATAGTATATTCATAAAAGAATATTTATATTGTTCTACTGCTCATCATAGGTAATGAAATGTCTATATATATATATATATATATATATATATATATATATATATATATATATATCACTAGTATAAAATAGGCTTTTTAACATCGGTTCCCAGATGCTTTTAACATCGGTTCTAGAACCGATGTAGATACGACCGATGTAGAAAGTGTGACTTTCCACATCGGTTGTAAGGAACCGATGTAGAAAGTCTAATATTTTTATTTATTCATAACCCCTCTCCAATTACCCTATCTATTGATAGGTAGGTCTCTTCTCCCTTTTATATTATATTTTTATTATTTTTTATTATTTATTATATTATTTATATTTTTTAAGAATTTGAATTATTATTCGATTAAGAGAATTGTCACTGACAAGATTCGAACCCAAGTACCTTAGAGTCGAAGGTCGATACTCCAATCACTAAGCTACTAGGATTTTCTGATAATAACTTATACATAAATTATATTTATATACAAATAAAAATGTATATCCATGTAAATATATAAATATAAAATATATAAATACAAATAAAATATATTTATATGTTGGATGTGAGGGCGCGCTCGAGGATGAAAGTGTGTGTCGAGTGAATTTTCAAAATTTGATATCAAATTTGTGAGCGAGTCTCTTTATATGGATTATAACTTAATGACAAAATATAATCTTTATAATTTATTTATATAATGATATAAAATGATTTTTTTCTTTATTTTATATCATTATATAAATTAATTATAAAGATTATATTCTATATTAATATAAATAAATTATAAAGATTTTATTCTATTATTAAATTACAAATTCATATAAAGAGACTCGCTCACAAATTTAACATCAAATTTTGAAAACCCACTTGTCACACACTTTCACTCTCGAGCGGCTCTCACATCCAACATATAAATATATAAATATATTTGTATTTATATTTATATATTTTATATTTATATATTTACATGGATATACATTTTTATTTGTATATAAATATAATTTATGTATGAGTTATTATCAGAAAATCTTAATAGCTTAGTGGTCGGAGTATCTGTCTTCGACTCTAAGATACTGGGTTCGAATCTTGCCAATGTCAATTTCCTACATCGGTTCACTGATGAACCGATGTAGAAAGTCTTGAATTCACTTTCTACATCGGTTCTTAAAGAACCGATGTGTTAGTTTGGTGTTAATAGTCATATAAAAATATTAATGAGTCATATCTTGATATGGGTTGCTGAACTTGTGTTTTGTTCTGTTCTGTTATGGTTATTATGTATTTCCTACCTCAAAATATTTTGCATAAATTTTTGTATGTGTTTTAATATCTTCTTGACTAATAAGGTTTGAGCTATTATTAGATTAGATGTCAAATATTATTAAAAAAGGATTGATATGATCTTTTATACAAATACTTTTCTGCATGGACAGTTATAGATTTATATGAAAAAAAAAAGATTATGAATCTTGGTTCTTATAAAGATTTAATAATTTTATCATACAAATCTATACATAATATCAATCCTCTTGTCACATCATTTGCAATATTATTTGTTTGTTTAACTCAATATTTCTTTTTATATAGAAAAATAAAAAAATATACGAAAACATTCAATATGAGAAAAATAATCATATATTCCTTTCCCAACTTTTATAACTAAAAAAATATAAGTTGTAAAAAAAAATTTGTTATGTAGAATGTAATAACAAACACGACAAACATATAGATTGAGGGCAACATATCTCACAAGACATCATTGGTGAATATTTTTTTAATGTTATATTTGTTTTACTTGTTAAAATTATAACACATTGATAAAAAGAAAATTATATTGTTCTCATGGATAATGTAATATTCGTAATTATTAATTATCAACAAATAACATAAAGAGTACGTGACTCTTATAGTGCATTAGTCTAGTATTAATAATCAGACAAAAGTATTAACAAGATATATCTTGTGATTTGTGTTGTCCTCAAGTTGTGTTTTGTTATGATTGTTGTGCATTTTTTAGCTCAAAATATGACAACTCTTAGAAGTTTTAGTTATATAAACTTTGAAGTGAATGTTGGAAAAAAAAAATGTGATCATCTTATTTATTTTGAATGTGCTCTGATATCTTTCTTGACTAATAAGGTTGGAGCATTTATTAGATTAGATTAGATGTTGAGTAACATTGCAGACGTGGTAAGGATTGATATGATTTTTTTTCTTTCTATAAATACTTTTTTATAATCATATAAAATTATAGGTTTGTTTGAAAAATATTAAAAGATTATGAATCTTGGTTAGACTAAGAAACTTTGAGATTGTCAATTTAAATTGATGCAACATAAACAGTTGTTTATTCAATGTGATATCATTTTAATAAGCAAAACAAAGATCATTGTAACACAACGAATTAAAAGAGCGAAATAAGTGATAGGAGAAAAGAGATCGTAACCTGATGCAGGTGGTAAAGCTAGAATCTTCCAGTAGAAATAGAGAAAACGACTTCAGTACTAGGAAAATATTTTGATGTAGTTGTTAATAGTGACCTTGCTCGCAAAGATTTATTTATTGCTGGTGTTGCTTGAGGACGGTGCTAAGTCTGACGGTTCTTCTCCACCTTCAACACACAGTAGTTGATTTGGCAGATATAGAAATTGATCCGTACATACCGTTTCGGACAATTCTCTGTCCAGTTCTCCATCTCCAAACATCACCCCTTTTCGACTAGTTTTCCAGTGCGTATGGATACCCTCCATACACTTCCAGTGGCACTGGCACAGTAAATCAGGAATACCTCTACACTGCATCTCAATATGCTCACTGGATTACCAAGCTTCTTAGATATGAACTTTGATATGAACCTAGGGCTTGAGTAGAAGCACGGTGAACAAAAGCCATGGAAGGTTGAACGCACACATAAAATGGCGGTCTAGCAGCATAGGTGTTAGAGGAAATCAGATAAATTTAACCTTTGGCCAAAAGGTGTAAGAGGCATCTAAAAAGAAAAGAGATCGGTGGTGATAACGTTGAAGCTTATGATCCTCTACTCCAATTGTTAACTGTAGAGGCTAAGTGAATCAAGTTATTGAGTATTTTAACATGAATATGCAGGTGGTTGTAGAGAGGTTTAGAAAAAAAAAAAAAGAAAAAAAAAAAAGACATCTTTAAAATTTATATCAATTGAACTACTAAAAACATGTATTAAGGGGGTGAAACTCATGTCGCGGGTCTCCAAAATAAAGACAGAGATAAGAAGGAAGAGCCGATGATTTTGATAGTTTATATTCTTTGATATAAGAGAACACTTTAGCCTTTAAAAAATAAATATTTAACGATTAAAATTTTTTTCAATTTTCATATTTTTAGGATTAATGTATATTGTTATATCTTTAAAGTAAATACTACTTATATTAATATATATATTTTTGTATTTTAGTATTGGTAAGTAAATATATATTCAATTTTAGTAATAATTTATATTCAATCAGTAGTGCTAATATATATAACTATGTAGGGTAATATGTTTATAAGTGGCACTTGAATTGATGAAAAGATTCTGAAGATGGTAACAATACATTTTAATCTTAAAAATATACAAATTTGAGAAAGTTCAAATTGTTAAATCAACTTAATTTTTAAAGGTCAAAGTGTTTTATTGTATATACGAACATATTACCAAAATCATTGACTATTTTTTTTTTTTCAAATCTATCATACTCCCTTCTTATCACTGTTTCTATTTTTTTAGACCTCTGAAACCCTTGAGTAAGTAGATGAATTTTCACTATACAATGCATACATTTTTCTCATAGTCCAATTGTTGATATAAATTTTCTCATAGTCTAATTGTTGATATAAATTTTGAAGATGTCTTTTTGTCTGATCGAAGCTTCTCCACATCTATCCTATGTCCATGAGAATTAAAATACTCAATAACTTCGTTCATCTCAATATTGCCACTACCATTGATCATGTCTTCCCTCTTATCAATTGTGATGACAATGTTGAGTATTTTAATTTGCATGACCATGGATAATTGTGGAGAAGCTTGATCGTAGAAAAAAAAAAAAAAAACATTTTCAAACTTAATATCAATTGGACTATGAAAAAAATGTATTAAATGATGAAAATTCATCCGTTTTCTGAAGGGTCTGAAAGATCTATTCTAAGATCTTGAAAAAGAAGGTGAATTTTTACCATTTAATATATTTTTTTTATAAATCAAATATTAATATAAATTTTGAACATACTTTTTTAAATTAAAGTATCTTCACAATGATCTGCATTCATGTTTGTGAAAATTAAAATACTCACTAACTTGATTCACCTCAGTTCCTATCGTTCGGGTAGAAGAGATAAAAGACAATATTTGGCCAAAATGTAACAGGCGTCTAAAAAAAAGTTCGAGAATTAGTTTCTTCGTTCGTTGAAGACGTCCGGCACGGTGCAGTGCTGTCTTTTTCAAACGGCTGATTTTAGAGTCGAGGTTACAAGGATAGAAATCTTGAATGGCATAAAGTTTTGGTGAATTGAAATAATATCTCATTTTCTTTGTATTTTTTTAATTTAGGTTTCCATGAACATTTGGAATATGATGAGAGTAAAATACCATCTGATAAAACTATAATGTGGAATCACCTCCATTTTTTAACTTTGTGTTTTACTTCTTTTAAAAAAAAATAAAAAATATTTTTTAAATGATATTCAATATCACCTTTTTATGACTCTACCTATCGAGTCATCTTTTTCAATGAAATACATCATAACATGAGATCTTTTATAATTGAAACTCGATATTTAAAATGTTGTTGGATATTTTGAGAGAGGTTGATTGAGAGAACAACATCAATCAGATATAAGTTCAACGCATATAAGGGATTGATACCACTCTTAATAAAAAACTTTTAAAATATTGAATAATGGGTCATACTTCTTTATATGATATTCAATATTCTCATTTTTTACGAGGAACTTAACTCATATTTAAATACTCAATATGTTATATGAAGTTAAGTCATAGGATCCGACTAAAAAAAATAAACAAATTTTATATGATTATTTTTATCATGAATTTAAATTTAGATCATCTTAAATATTAAATTTTAACATCTCATGAATTTTCATTCATAAAAAACTTGACAACACGAAGTTCCATGCTTTAACTCCTAATAATACAGATGTTTAAGGATATGTTAAATCATCATTCGATATTTGCTTGTGAAAGAAGAGATTGTAACACTGGATAAATGTGTGGTGGTAAGGGATGTCGTCAATGCATATACTATAAAAGAATAAAGATAAATATTATTTAAGGTTGAAATCCAATCACCTAACACAATATTAACCATGTACAAATTCCAACTTGCCAACAATTGCATTTCACAAAAAGTCAAGATTCATGAATAATTAACTTAGATACTTCTAAATCTCATACCTGAAAGAACATTTACACAATTATTTTTAAATTAAGAATTTTGACAGTTTCAAATATTTTTTGATATTGAAGTAATCCATTAACACCACAAGAAATTTTATAATTAGTTAGAAAAATTAGCCATAAAATTTATTTTTCACTAATTTGTAACTAATTAGTTATGGAATAGTGATAGAATAAGGTTGTAGCTAATCTGTAGTAAAATAGCTAGAAGACTAATATTTTTGTAGTTATTCTCTCACTTAGCAGAAAAATAATTTAGTTAGAAAAAATTTTGTCACTAATCTCACGCTATAAATATTAGCTATATTACTTTTTGAAGCTATTTCCTAGCTAAATTGTGTAACATATAATTATAGTTAAACTGTAACAAATTTATAACAACTATCAAATTAAAAAAAATATTAAATTATTGGGAACCATTCTTATAAATTATTTTAGTTTTATAAAAAATTATTTATAAAAAATACTTGTAAATTTCTCTAAAAATATATAATTATAAAAATTAATTTTTGATCTTTTTGAAAAAAATATCAATAAAAATTAATTACAATTTTTTCTTAAAAAAATTATTTTTACCAAATTTACTATAAAACCTTTTTATTAATTAGTGTTGGTGGTGATCGTGATTAATGGTTGATGTGTTTTGGTTGCAGGTTGATCACCATGACCCTGAGAATAGTTCACTTTTTAGGTTCAATGCGCTTTGGGAAGCTCATTATCACCAAGATTCTTTGCTGGTGTTCTCAACTGGGAGATCACCTACACTCTACAAACAACTGAGGAAAGAGAAGCCTATGATAACTCCTGATATAGCTATTATGTCTGTAGGGACTGAGATTACTTATGGGAAATCAATGGTGCCTGATGATGGATGGGTTCAGTTTTTGAACTATAAATGGGATAAGAACATAGTCATTGAGGAATCAAGCAAGTTTCCTGAACTTAAGCATCAGGTGTGGTTTATAGGTGGTGATGGTGACTGTGATGATTTGTTTCTTGATTGTATCATTTTATTCGGGTGTATAGGTAAGCAATGCCCAAGAGGAATTGTTGCAGTGGCATTCACAGAATGCAAAAGATAGCCCCAAGATTCTTCATGCCTCAGAGCGCTGTGCATATGGGATAATAAGGAAAAAGGCAAAAGAGAAAACAAATTCAGAATTAGCGAGAGTAAAATTGTGAGGGATTAGCTACGGATTAACGAGAGAAAAATTGTGAGAGATTAGCTACGAATTAGCGAGAGCGAAAATGCGAAGGATTAGCTACGGATTAGCGAATGCGAAATTGGGAGAGATTAGCTACGGATTAGCTACAAGTTTTGGGAGATCAAATTAGCTAGAGATAAACAAAATTTCATCATTTAAATTAGCGAAGGATTTAGCGACAATTTAGCGATAAAATTTACTACAAATTTGAGAGATAATACATCTGTATCTAATTAGCTACTTGGATTTAGCTAGTTATTCCGTAGCTAATCTGTAGCAAAACATACCAGCGAGAGATTAGTTATAAAATAGCTACGGAATGTGTCATAGCTAATATGTAAAATTCTTATAGTGTAAAGAAAAATATTGTTATTTCTTAAAAGAAATATAATATAGATATTCTTAAAGAGACAAGAGTGATTAATTATAATAACAAGTAAATAGTTTTATGAATTTAAATAAAAAATTAATAACAAAACAAGATAAATTTTTTTATCCAAAAAGATAAAAAAGACAGGTTCAAAATATTAGCCAATTCATGCACGTTCCTTCTTTATAAGTATTCTAATATATCTCATAAAAGCTCTAGGACCATGTCTGTTATCATCGTGATACTGATTAAATAGATCTCCCATAAACATATGTTTTACTGTAAGATATTGTATGTTTATAGAAAGTAATATCATTTCATGAAAAAACAATATTATAAGATATTGTGTGTTCATTGAAGATAATATTATTTTAGGAAAAGAAAAAAAAGAAAAGAAATACAATGTAGTTACATTGTACTATTTTTCATATTCAACGATCAATTCACTACAAAAAATTTATATGAACCCTGATATATAGGGCTTGAGTAGAAGCATGGTGGACAAAAGCCATGGAATCGTGAAGGCACTCATAAAATGGCGGGCTAGCAGCATAGGTGCCGTTAAGAGGAAATCAGATAAAAGACAACATTTATTTGGCCAAAGGATGTAAGAGGCGTCTGAAAAGAGAAGACCGGGGATTGGTTTCTTCATTCGTTGGTGAAGGCGCGCGGTGCTGTGCAGCGCTGTCTCTTTCAAACTGCTGATTCTACCGTCGATGCAGTCGAGGTTACAAGAAATGGACAGAAATCTTGAATGACATTTACTAGTAATTACCATGTTTGAAACTTTGAAAAAATAACAGCTCAGAGAAGAGTGAAACGGTACTTGGGACCAAGCACATAAAACCCAACAACATTTAATGAATAAAACAAATGTGTCTTCAAAACCATCACTTATGTAATTTTAACTACATATATATATAACCACAGAATAACAATTTGATAGATTTTTCAATACTGAAAAAACTACTTGACTTGATTTTTAACATTAAAAGGATTACTTACATACTGTCTTATTTGGACATTCTTTATGAAAAAAGAATTAAAGATAGAATTGAAAAATATGAAATTATAGATGCAGGTCTATTACTCTATTTATAAATGCTTTTATCATAAAAAAATGGTTGAAGTGTTTTTGATACAGCAAAAGCAAAAGCAAAATATTATATAGCAATATGCTGCAATAAAAGGCACAAGAAGCATGTAACTCCGATGGTGGAGACGATGTAAGTGTAAATTAAATAATAGGAAGTGCCTTAGTCTAATACTAGAGTAAGAGGAAGTAGAGAAGTATTCACCAGTCATGCCTTGTGGTATTTGCTGTTCTGAACGTGAGTTTTGCGTTTATTGTTGCTGCATTCTTTGTGGCAAAACTATTTGTACAGCATATGGTGGCTTTAGATATTTCAAGTGTCCAGTGAATGCTAACGGCGGAATTTGTGGCCACGTTGCTCATATGGAATGCGCTCTCGAATGTTTTTTGGCTGGTAAAGTTAGAAGTTTGGGGCGGGATGGCGAATACTATTGTCGACGCTGTGATGGGAGAAGTAACATGATATCTCATGTTTACAATCTCATTCAAACATAAAACACTATTGATTTGGATGGTGAAATTAAGAAGATTTTGTATATCGGTGCTTGTCTCATGCGGGCAAATAAGCTACTGCGGTGTATTGATTTAGTCGTCTGTTTAATTATTTGCAAGCGTACTAAAATTATCAACCATAATATAGTATTTCAATTAAATAAAAAGTCTATCCCACAAGAAATGGTTTCAATGAAAATTCTCAATAATATGCTTACTAAGTGCATTGAAACAGATTGGATTTTGCAATAAGAGTTGAATTGAAATTAAATGACAAAGACTGTAAATTATTGAAAAAATATCAATTAAAGGTACTTAGAATTGATTTTCTTCCTTATCCCTCTTTTGTAATGACTATGTCAATTTAGAACGTCAATTAACCTAACAATGTTGATGTCATTTACTCAAATCATCCATGTTGATTCCTCACTAATAAAATTCATAAGAAAATCTATTAAATGTTGATTCTTCACACAATTAAGAGATTTTTCCGCATTAGGTTTAGGGTGTTAAGCAATTGATACATTTATTCCATTTCTGACAATTAACATAACAAATATTCTTACCGTGATCTAGGGTTCAAGATATATTTTCCAATCATACCCCAAACATCAAGAATAAATCATTCTAAAGCACAAAGGATAATAATAACAACATCAAAACATAGATTAATATCTCAAAATATCACCATGATACAAAAGAGTTCAAAGGAAGTGCACCCAATCTCAAGAGAATGAAGTTAGTCACTCATATTGGTCCTCCAAATGTGGAAGAAGTGAAGAATTGATGAAGATTAGACAAAACCCTAGCAGTAATCGCGCATCTTCTCCCCCAAAACACCATTTTTCTCAAAACACATCTTCTCTTTTTATAGGAAAAACTGGGTTTTTGGGCTTCGCGTCTTTCGCTCAAGCGACAATTTTCCCTCAAGCGAAAGTTGCCTATTTTCGCTCAAGCGACAAAACTCTCGCTTGAGCGAGTGAACTCTAGAGAAGAATAACTAACATTCACTCAAGCGCACGCTTGAGCGAGTGAACTCTATAGAAGAATAACTAACATTCGCTCAAGCGAATTTTCTTACGCTTGAGTGACTGACTTCCAAAGAAGAATAACTAATATTTGCTCAAGCGAATGTCCATCTCGCTCGAGCGACTTCCATGCTGAAAATCTTCTTCCTTCTTCCAATTTTACTCCAATTATGCTGACAATTATGCTCTTTACTCTTGTATCAAGGTATTTTCGAATTCATCCTATATATATTGGGAGAAAAATATATTAGAATTAACATAAGTTAAGTGATTTCATAACAATTCAAGACATAATTATATCAACTTTTTACCACTTAATAACTCCCCCCAACCTATAATCTTGTTTGTCCCAAGAAAAGTTATTTTTTCAAAACAAAACCATCGTTTATTATCACTTTCTCTTCCAGAACCACAACATAAAAAATTTCAGATGTGATTCTCACAACTCCAAATGAAAAATTGAATACATAAGCATTCAAGTTATAGAAACTAACAAAGAATAATTAGTCCTCAACTATCCTCAGAGAAGCATGATCTCTCAAATAGAGTTATATATAATCATCTCTAATTCTTACAGGTAAGTGTTTATCTCATTCAATCACTTCATTTAGACAATTCAAATATTGATAATCATCTTCAAACAATTAACATTTGTTAAACAAGACTTAAATCAAAAGGTCTTTTGAGGCTTGTAATAGGACTTGGACTAAGAAAGAATCATTGCTTTTTCCGAGATATACAATTTGTAGAATTAAACTCAATATAATTGTTAAAAATACTTTGTAGAGGCATTTGAGAAAGCTTTTGTCAAAATACTTTGTTTTTAATTGTTAAAAACATTTGTAGAGGCATTTTGCAAAATCTTTTAAGTGAAGAAACCTCATGCAACAGAAATATTTTAATTTTAGTATTAAAAATTTAAATTATATTGTATTAAATTAAACTAGTTACAATATATTTTTTTACTTTGAGAATGAACAATATAATTAAACTCAAAATTGACAATATTATAATACATTTTTGAACTCTTTTGGATTAATTTTTTTTCCTAATTTTTGATAAAGTTAATTTTAATATTTAAAAGTATTTAACATTTTGAATTCTGAAAGGTTTTCTCTAAAAGTAAATTTAAAAACATAATATTCAAAAAAATAGTTAATGTAAGTTTTCATTATGATTGATGAAAAGAAGAACATAATTGAGAAGATATGATAGCGGTTCCACGTTAACCGCTATCTAAAGTATAATTTAGATAGCGGTTAATGGTTAACTGCTATTAGAAGTGCACTTTTAAGAGCGGTTCTTGTGGAACCACTATCTAAAATGTATTTCGCTTGAGCGACAATATTCTCGCTCGAGCGAAACGCCCCCTGCACAAAATTGGCATTCTCGGGTTGTATTTCGCTTGAGCGACACTACTCTCGCTCGAGCGAAATACGATTCTGATTGATCATAACTTGAAATGATCGATCATAATGATATAATAGTGGTTCCCTTATAACCGCTATCTGAATATATATTAGATAGCGGTTAAGGCTTATACGATATCTGAAGTGTATTTCGCTTGAGCGAGACTACTCTCGCTCAAGCGAAATCCGATTCTGATCGATTATATTTTCAAAATGATCGATCATATTTGATAATTTTTTCAAATAATTAATTATAATCGATTAGTTTTCTAAATTATTGATTAGAATTGATTAGTTTTTCAAATAATAGATTAGAATTGATTAATTTCTGAAATATATACTAAAAAATTATAATTAAAACTATAAATTAGTTAAGAATATTGACTATTGTAAAGATAAAGTAGAACATGGGAGGAGATGAGGATGATAATATAATGATAGAACTTACAAAAATGTAGAATTGAGAAGTTTGAAACAAATAAAATTAAGAAAATAGATATTTAATTACACTTTTAATAAATTTAAGATAATACTAGTTTTGATTTTTATTTTTAAATATTTATTTTAATTATTTAAAACAGAGAAACTATAATTTTAGTTTCTAACTACTGAATTTAAAGAATTAAATTTATTATTATTTAATCTTTTAATTTTAGTATTAAAATTTTAAATTATATTTTATTAAATTAAAATAATTACAATATATTTTTCTACTTTGAGAATGAACAATATAATTAAACTCAAAATTGACAATATTATAATATATTTTTGAACTCTTTTGGATTAATTTTTTTTCCTAATTTTTGATAAAGTTAATTTTAATATTTAAAAGTATTTAACATTTTGATATAATGAGCATGATAATATAATGATAGAATTTACAAAAATGTAGAATTGAGAAGTTTAAAATTTTTTTTAAGAAAATAGAGATTTAATTATACTTTTAATAAATTTAAGATAATACTAGTTTTTAAACCTTTTTCTAATATTTGTTTTTAAAAATATAATATCATTTTTAATATTTTATAGATTTTATATTTATATATTTATAAAAGTAATTGGATTAAATTTATTATCCTCTCATATATTATTATACATTTAGCGTAATTTTAGTTTATTTAAAAATTAGAATACAAATATACTATACCAATATACCATTATATTATTTTCATTGTATATAAATTACAAAATTAATAATTTGTATACTATACTATATTAACATATTATTTGTATACTATACTAATAGTATAATATACTATATTATAATATTATTTGTATACAAAACTAATATCTTTATATATAAAAATATAAATATGGAAAGATATAAATATATGTAAAAATATAAACATATAAATATATATAAATATGTAAAGATATAAACATATATCTTTAATATTTTGTAAATGTAAATATAATTTATATATATTTTTAAATCTTTTTCTAATATTTATTTTTAAAAATTTAATATTATTTTTAAAATTTAATATTTTTTTTCAAATATATAAATATATAAAGATATAAATGTATAAGGATATAAATAAATATATAAATATATCAATATATAAATATATCAAAATATAAAAATATAAAAATATAAATATATTAATATATAAATATATCAATATATAAATATATATATATATATATATATATATATATACAAATATATCAATATATCAATATTATCCCCTCATATATTAATATACATTATGCTATATAAATATATCAATATATAAATATATCAATATTTAAATATATATTAAAATATATAAATATATTTTTATTTATAGATTTTATATTTATATATTTATACGGATATACATTTATTTGTATATAAATATAATTTATTTGTAAGTTATTATTAAAAGATCCTAGTAGCTCGGTGGTTGGAGTTTCAGCCTCCAACTCTAAGGTACCGGGTTCGAATCCTGACAATGATAATAAACCACCTAATAATAAGTTAAACTAAATAAATATAAATAAAAACTTAAATAAGCAAAATATAATATAATTAAGAGATAGGAAAAATAAATAATAGATATAATAAAAATGTAAATAAATAAAAATAATTAAATTTGTTATTGATTAACTTTTTCATTGATTTAGTGACCGATTTCAGTTGGTCACTATTTCTGGTCACTATTTGGTGTTTTTCTTGTAGTGACAAAAGTATTTGAGAAATTTAACTCATATGAATTATTCTTGTTTAACATTTCCTCAAGTCAGGTTTCAAACTTCATGTTGTTGTCCTAACATAATGATAGTGAGTTAATAATCTCACAAGTTATTATTCTCCCATTTTTACTTCCTCATTTACAACAAAGATAAAATATAGAAACATTGTCTCATTTTTTTATATTAGTTTATATTTCCATATTTGGTTTAATAGAATGCTCTAATATGTTATATGGAAATTATTTTTATTAATTTTTTTTTATGAATGATTTTTTTATCTAATTTAAGTGAATATATACCTATATTTTATGTTTAATTATTTTTTGTATGTGGATAATATTTGTGTTTAATTTTTGAACTTTGTTGCATTGAAACTGTTTGATAAAATGTTTGTAAGAAATATGATTATATTAAAAATATTTAACATAAGACTTTTTATGATAATTATGTTAAGAATTGACATAATAAGTATGTATGATATAGGTTCTTAACCGATATAAAAAGTTATATTTTATATCTCTTGAATCTATGTCGATTGTAAAACCGACATAGAAAGTTTAAAATAACTGTCATTTTTTCACTAGTGAATGTCATAAAAACAAGCATTAAGTAAATTTTGTTGAAGAGTATGACTTTTAATAACATCTTTTTTATGCTACTCGAGACTCAAGTGATGAAACAAGTGGAACCTAGTACTTGGATAGTGGTTGAAGTAATCACATGAACAAAGACAAAAACATCTTTAGCGACATTGATGGCTTTGTCAAGGTGAAAGTGCGATTGAGAAATTGCACCCTATTTGAGTCAAAAGGAAGAGATACCGATGCAGTGACGACATAAATGATTGAACAAAAGAAATTAATCATAAAATTAATTACAATAAACTTAAATATTTCTCAAATAAATAATTACAAAATTGGATCACCGAGAAATTTCTAGGACTGATTTGGAGAAAATAATTTGTTTCTTTCTTATTTTGAGTGATCCTACATTGATTGATATTTAATTCTTAATTCTTGCTAGCCTTTAATTTAACTAAATTGGATTTCTGCATCAATTAATTTGTTTGATTCAAAATTTCCATTTGTAACATTTTGCGATAAGCAAACTTGGGCTTCCAAGAATAGTGAAGCTTAACTGCAACAATTTGGACATTTTTTTTATCAATTTGGCCTATCTCAAATGACCTCTCTTACAAAATAAGAAAAAGAAATATGTAACATGAATATATATATATATATATATATATATATATATATATTGTTTATTATGCTAAAATTATGTAAAATATAACAAATTAAGAAAAAATGAATTATGTCATATTTTTAATGAAAACATGTTAAATGCATGGTTTATAAAAAAATAATTAACTTAAAAAATGCTCTTAAATCAAAAAATAAAAAATAAAATGATATACATCATCCCTCCTTTATTGAAAATCCTACCATCACTAAAATGAATGAGAAAAATCTTTCTTGGTTTGTCTCAATTGAATGTTCTTGGGTGAAAGCTTCCATGACCACTTGGGTGATGAGAGTAAAATTGTACTATTTATCATATTTAATGATCACTTGGTAAAGACGGAATCAAAAAATTAATAATTAATCTTAGAAAATCAGTATAAACAAATAATTTCTGAAAGATTTATAATATATTTTTTAATAAAATTTTAAAAGTTTTTTTAGAGTGCCAAATTTAATACATAAGTATATATAATTTATATATTCCAACTCATAAAAATAGTTAAAATAAACTTATAATAGACTTTATTAAAATGTTTTTTATTCTTTTACTTATTTGTACCTAGTCCTCTAAATTTGCCTTTAGTTATTTAAACTCTTCAACTTATATTTTTCTTTTTATTTGTTTCAAATATCTTGTATGTATGTTCTTTAAATTTAATTTTAATCCTTAAAATGAAAATTAATTTTATTAGTATTATAATTGTTTAGTAATTATATATGTATTATTACTTATATTTTTTTTAAATTATCTAATATCTTAAACTTAATAAATCATAAATTTAACCAATTTCATTCAACACTTTTATAATAAGATATTAATCTATTTATTTTATTGAACTTAAGTGCTTATATTTCTAATTTAACTATAATATTGTTATAGTGTTTAACCACGGTTAAAAAGGTATACAACACCAATTTTAAATTGGTGATTAATAAATTGTCGTTATATGATAGACAGTTATTTATAAAATTACTGTCATGTAACACATAATAACGAATTTTTATAAATAATTATTATTGTATCTTGACATACAACAATGAATTTGATCATATTCATAAGTGAATAGTTGCGTCCAACATGTTTATAACCACGGTTAGAATATTAACGATAGTCGTATCTTTGTTTTTGAAAAATAAAAAAAAAAGTAATCTGACTTTATGATCACAATCTCTTTCTAGTATTATTTAGACAATGATTGACATACATTATGTAAGAACTGCATTTATATTTTTTAATTTGTCTATTAATATTACTCAAAATATCAAAATTAAATTAGTTTGTTAATAATAAATAAACTAAAATAAATATTTATGATTATACTCACATTTACTTTTGCAGAATTCCACTTGATCTATCTCTAATTATGTTATATTTAGAAAAAACATTAATAAAATTATTTATAACAAAAAAAGTTGTTACTAAAATGCTATTTATAAGATTTTTTTATTTTTTAAATAATTTACTTTTAAATTTTTATATTATTATTTATCTATTTTAAAAATCTTTTCGCTCGGCTTCACTTTTCTTAGTTATCAAGATATACCAACCTTCCCAGGAGTGATAAGGCCCTTCTCTTCAGCATCCATAGCGATTCTATACCAAATTCTGTGTGTTAAAAACAATAAAACAAGCTGTAGAATCAGCAGTTTGAAAGATTTCTGTTAACCTCTGTATTGACTGTAGAATCAGCAGTTTGAAAGAGACAGGACTGCAGAGCACCGCGCGTCTTCACCAACGAATGAAGAAACCAATCCCCGGTTTTCTCTTTTCAGACGCCTCTTACGTTCTTTGGCCAAATAAATGTTATCTTTTATCTGATTTCCTCTTAACGGCACCTATGCTGCTAGCCCGCCATTTTATGAGTGCCTTCACGATTCCATGGCTTTTGTCCACCATGCTTCTACTCAAGCCTGTATATCAGGGTTCATATCAAAATGTTTTAGTATATTCATCATGTACAATTTTCTTTAGACAAAATGTTTTTTTAAGTGAAGTGATAATAACTTCCATATATTATTCATGATCTTGACTTTTTGTGAAATGCAATTCTTTCACAAGTTGGAATTTGTACATGGTTATTATCGCGTTAGGTGGTTGGATTTCAACCTCAAATATTTTTAATACTCTTAATCGAAGAACTTTGACTCAAGAATCTCATATTTAGAAACAATTATTGTTCTGTGGTTATATCTATGTGCAGTTAAAATTACATAGGCGATGGTTTCCAAGAAACATTTGTTTTATTCATTAAATGTTGTTGGGTTTTATGTGCTTGGTTCCAAGTACATTTCACTCTTCTTCTGAGCTGTATTTTTTCGAAGTTTCAAACATGGTAATTACTAGGAAATGCCATTCAAGATTTCTGTCATTTATTGTAACCTCGACTGTAAAATCAGCAGCTTGAACAGAGACTGTTAATAAATACTATCTGTATCAATAACTTTAGCAACAAAATTAATTCTCAAAAGTCGGTGTTCTTGTTAAGTGACACATGAGAAGATCTTGAAAATAAAAATAATAAGATTCATGAGAACATTTTGAGATCTGACATTGCTGTGTTGTTCATTAAGTCCATGTAACATAGCTTGATCTTCTCATATACCTGGGCATTTTTAGTATACTTGTTGAAATTTTCTAACTTAATGTTGTAGTTAAAAATATATAAAATGTATAAATATGACATTAATATTAATAAAAAAATAAATCTCTAAAATTTTGTAGTTTTTACAGAATCATTAGAAAGATACAACTATTAGATTAATTACAATCAAACTTAATTATTATAAAATATATTCTTAAACTGTTGATATACTGTTTGACATAATTTTTTTTCTTACGGTTTGTCCAACTGTAAATAATATATCAGTTAAATATGTTTTTCTCTAACTTTTAAATTGGAATTTTAAATTCAATCTTTTAAAAATAGATAATTGATTTTCTTATGCAATATATCAATATTTCAACTTAACTTCAGGCTTTGGATAAAAGATATATTTCATGAAAAAAATTTACAATTAAAACAAGTCGATCAATTTCAGACGTTTCGTAAGTGATGGAACCTAGACATTCCCTATGGCACGAGTGTCTCTTGAGATTTTCATTCTCAATGCATTCAATATTGGAAAGAATAGAATGTACGTATTGCAAGTTGAGAGATGAGACAAGAGAGTGGAATATGGAGAATTGAAGAATAATAAAAGAGGTTGGACCAGTAGTTGCTAGTTCGAAAATCAAAGAGAAAAAATATCGGCGAAGTTGAAGGAAAATATGAAGAGCATGTTGTTCGGATTGTTGAGCATGGACGACAGAGTTTGCAAAGGTGTGGCTAAGATAAAGTTTCAAAAAATCATCTGAGTTGTTTTAGACGAGAATGTTCAAGTTATTATCGAACGTATGCAAAGGAGATTATGAGTAAATTTAAGATAATTCAATCCCAACTCCCATGGAACGAGAGACAAAACTTTCTAAATTTGATGGAGGAGACCAAGTAGATATCAGAATTTAGTTGAAAGTCTTCGTTATCTAACAAGTACCAGACCCGATTTAATACTGAGTGTTGGAATTGTCAATGGGTTTATGGAGAATCTGAGCTACTCTCATTGAAAAGCGTTGAAGCGAATATTAAGGTATATCTGAGGTACATCATCATTCAGATTGTTGTACACAAAGTCGGACAATTACCAATTTATGAGGTACTTGGACAGCGACTTAATTGTGTGGAGATGTGGATAATCAATAAAGTTCTTTAGGATAGGTTTTCTTCATGGCTAACACAGTGTTTACCTGACTTTCAAAGAAGTAATCCATAGTAACATTATCAACCTCTGAAGCCGAGTACGCGACATCGTGGAGTGTGTGTCATGTAATGTGAATAAGAAATTTGCTAAGTTTGGTGGTGAAAAAAAAAATACTCGGTGCAACCATAATCTGAGTTAATAATAAATTGGCCATTGAACTAACTAAGAATATGATGAATCATGAAAGAAGCAAACACATTTATGTACAAATTTAGTTCATTCGAGTACATGCGAAGGAAGAAAATGTGGAGCTTGTACATGTGGCGAGTCGAGATCAAATTGTTGATATTTTCATAAAGTCACTACCTATTATGTTATTTGAGAACTACAAAAGGCTAATCGAGATGAAGGATAGAAAGAACTCGAGTGGTCAAAACCAAATGTTTGACGAGTTGGCTAAGTTGAGAGCTCAAAACATTATTGTTTGTTGCATCGACCACCATCGTTCACTCTAGCAACCATCGAATTTGTTGAGTCTCGTCGTGCAATACTAAATCCACTTGGTCACGCCCTCTAGTTTTCACCCATGCGGTATCACACACCACTTTCGAACCAATCCCTTGATAATAATATTTTGGTCGCACAAAATACTGATACAAAATAATAAACAAGTTGTTAAACTAATGCAGTATAGTTAATCCGTGTCAAATCTCACAAGAACATAATTATAAGAACATACGCATTACCACATATCTTTCTCTTTAAAACAGTAAATAAGGTATGAATGAAAGGGTGAAAAAGAAACAAATTGATACAGAATAATACAAATTTAAAATCAAGTTACTATAAAATATTAATGATAATTAAAATTAAGTGGAAGCAGAATTAAAATAACTGAAATTTATAAAATCAAAATAAAGTATTTTTAATTAAAAGTGAAAGAATTAAGAATTGCTTTAAAATAAAATAATGTAATAATTAAATTTGAAATTTCTGAAAACAATAACTCTAAAACTAAATTGAGAATTGAAATTGGAAAAAAAGATTAATTGAAAAATGAAAATTAAGCAATATTGAAATAAAAACTTTAAACAATTAAATAGCAGAAATTAAAATGAGTATTGAATAAATAAAGTAAATAGAACAATATAAATTGAAAAATTCAATAGAAGTTGTAAATTAAATAAAAGAGAACAAATCATAAGTACGATAGTAGATAGATTTATCGTCTAACTAAAAACTAAACTAAGAATTAAGAATAAGAAAAAAAAATGGGGACGAGAGAAAACAACAATTCTCACCCAAAACTAACAACAAATTATTATTGTGTGTTGTTGTAAGACCTCTATTAATTAAAGATGGCTTGCTCGTTCCAAATCTTAAATAAAATCTCTTGCACATTTGTCAAATAATGAAGAAAGGTTATGTTCTTCACTTCAAAGGTAATAAATGCATAATATATAACAATAAAAGACGAGAGATAAAAATAAAAATAGAGAAAAGAAATAAAAGTTTTCTTACAAGGTTCAAACATACTACTAATATTGCCATAAAAGTTTAAGTTGACGATTCATGACTTTAATATCAAAAGTTTAGTCATTTCAACACTAAGGCATCAAAGTTATTACATCAAAAGAATATGATGAGAGGATTCTCATACCTAAAAGAGAATAATGAAGTTTGTGAATGATATCTTTTCAAGAAGTAACACAAATTACCATTTTCAAACGACGCAACATGGAGAGCAAAAGATTTGTTGGAATTAATTCATACAAACATATATGGACCAATGAGAATACTGTTACTAAACAACAAGTATTTTATCATTTTCATTGATGACTTTTCTAGAATGACCTGGGCTTACTTCATTAAAGAAAAAAAGTATTTGAAATATTCAAAAAGTCCAAAACTCTCGTTAAAAAACAAAGTGAAAGACATACACAAATTCTAAGAAATGGTCAAGGAAATATAACTCACATATTCGACAAGTTCTATGAAGAGAAAGGAATAAGAAGATAACTTACAATTATATGTACACCACAACAAAATGATGCATCAGAAAGGAAAAATCACACAATAATGGAGATAACAACAAGATCAATGTTGAAGGAGAAAGACTTGCTACATACCTTTTAGGAAGAAGTAATCTATACTGTTGTGTATATACTCAACAAATGTCCAGCTAAGGTAATCCAAGACAAGACTCCAATAAAAGATAAAAATATACAAGGAAGCTTATTAGTATACAACACATAAACAAAAGGTTATATAGTTTACAATTTGTAGAGAAAGAAGTTCACCATTAGCAAAGACGTTAAAGTTAATGAAAATGCTTATTGGAATTGGGAGAAAGGAAGAATCATGAGAAACATCATCTTCCTTCCTATATAATCTCAAGAAGAAGTTCAAGAAGTGACAGAAGCTTCAAGTATGCTTGATGGAAAATTCTTTCTCCTTCCACCATGAGCACCCAAGAGTTAACCAGAGTAGGAGAAATAACTCTCAAAGACAATTGAAGATAAGTCAAAATAGGGTACAAACAATTTATATAAATTCCACACACCAAGTTTAATATCATTCAAATGTGCTCAAAAAGTTACACAAGGGATTATATATATATATATATATATATATATATATATATATATATATATATATATATATATTATCTTCATTCTCTCACTCACCTAGGGAATGTGGGACTAAATTCTCTTCTAAAGACTATGTATCGAATTCCCTAACTTCAAGTCTCACCTAACCCACTTTTAATTACATTTTTAAGTGTTTATATACTAAAAAACTCTCAATGTTGCAATCAAAAGTTGAAACTTAGACCTCCTTGCATGTGTTGAAGTGCTTTGGCTGAATTTTAGAAGGAAAAATTATATATTCCCTTTTTGTGGTAGCCAAGACTTGAACCTTGTTTTCTTTTTTTAAATGCAACACCTTCAAGTCCCATCTTCTCTATATTTTGTTTACTTCAAGTATTTACATACGTGAAACTTCTCTGAACTTGCAACCAAGAATAAAACTTGGATTTCTATCTTGTACGTGGTTGAAACTATGCTGTGGGAAAAGGTATAACTTCCCTTTTGGTTCAACTCAATATTGTTCTTTTCTTTAATAGTCAGTCTCCTCTAAGTTTCACATTGTTTTAGGAAAGATATTTTCCAATGTTTATATACCAAGTGAGGTGAGTGATGAAGTGATTGTGAACTTCCTCTTTCAATTGTTGGGTTGTTTGTTTACAGGACATCAAGAATTTTTACCATAATCTACTTCAAAATTAGTTTCTCTTCCATCCTTTTAGTCATGTGTTTTGTTTGAAGCCAATTCTAGAAAAATTCTTATTCTAAAAATGTTTGGTAGATTAACTATTCTTTATATACTCTTGACTACTAAACAACAAACCAACCTTTCATATATTCTTCCTAAAATACTAACTTACAGAATGCCACAAGAAATATAAACTACAACAAAACATAAACACAACCAATATTTAGTGACACGGTTCATTAATTCACTTTTGTTCAACGTTCGTCATCAACTTCAATCATCACCTCTTCTTCAAAACTTCTGCACAAAGCAGAATTAAGATCACTTTCCTCACGGGGTGTACCATTTTCTGTAGAATATCACTTTGTCCAAAGATCTATTTTGTTCACTTTCCATCGATCCCTCACAATTTTGTCGAATAACAAAAAGAATTAATGAGATGGGGTTGATGTGAATTAGTATATACTATGATAAATGACTGATAAATTCTAATTGGGGATGAGGTTGGTAGAGATGTTTGTTCTAATCACTTGAAGATCTGAGTATCTGAGTATAGACTACGATTCTTAATTATTATTAAAATATCTCAACGGTTTGAATCTTATAACTTATTTGAAAATTATTTTATATAAAAAATGACATAAATGGTTGATAATAGTTGATAAATGAATACTTAAAGATAAAGACAGAAAATATAGTACAATTATTGTAATTATTTATAAAAACTAAATTACTTTAAATTTAAAAACTAAAATAAAAATTAAATTTTATCAACTTTAAATTTTAGAAACTAAAAAATAAAAATATTTTTTGAAATTTATTGTAATACAACAGTGATCAAGTAAGGTTCTACATTTTTAAAAATTAAAAAACTTAAATTTTTTAAAATGAGTAAATAAATAAGGCCTAACTGTTATTTAGGTCGGGAATTCTTGATTTAATTTTATTTTTTATTTTATAAATCAATTTTAAAGATAATTTAAATAAAATATTTTTTAAAATAAATTAAAAATAACTTGTTTAATAACTTTATTTTTAAGTAGAGAAAAGAAAATATATTAATATACAAGAAAAGTCCCACAAAATTAAAAAATAATTGAGATAACTTAATGATGACGAATGTGGGAGATGACTAATACTATTAATAAAAACAAAATTAAAAAAAACATATTTTATTAATTTTGATTTTTTTTTCTTTTTAGAAAACAAAAATAAGAACAATTCTTAGAAACGAGTTTATAGAAAAAAAATCATCAAATAAGTTTTTTTTTATTTTTAAAATTTATAAACTAAAAACTATTTTTTAAAAATACTAAACTCGTGTACACATGTTTGTGTTCAGTTTACACCTTGTATGTATGTCTGTTAGAAACATGTGAAATTGTTTTAGAAGTCTTTATAATTAAATATGATCCAATCAAGTATTACTAAACAAATATTAATTTTATAAACACTAAAAAACTTATTATCATTATATAAAATCCGTAGATAATGACAAAAATTAGTAGATAATATCATTTTATCTATATATTTCTTTTCATAAAAAATTTATATATAATTCGATGGTAGGTAATATCAATAAAATAAATATTGAGATATCAATATGGAAATAAAAATTCATCTATATATATTTAGATGAAATGCATAATTTAATAGGAAAACTATTTTTACAACAAATCCTGTAACTTCACTTTGTAATAGACAATGTAATCCATAATGTCTCTTTTTTTAAATAGTAATAGCATATAAACCTATCCATATACATGATAGAGGATTTTAGAATTGATTTTTCTGAAATAAATTTGTCAAAGAAAACAAACTATTAGACATTCGAAACAGGCATGTGACAATTTAAAGGAGAGTATTAAACAAATATCTCTCCATTATTGACTAAAATTTCTTAAATCATATTAAAAAACATTTGATTGTAATATTCTTTCCTATATCCTAATATGATGAAAAATATTATATTTAATAGCAACTATATTTAAAAATGTACACATTTGTGCATATATATATATATATATATATATATATATATATATATATATATAATTAATTCATTGTAATGAGTCACATAATATAATAATTATTTTGCTGTTTTATCTTTGACAATGTTTCTCCTGTGAGAATGCTGAAGTGATGATTGTTAAAAGATAAAAAGAAAAAATTATAGAAGAATCTATTATAAATAAAATAAATCATTATCTTCCATTTGAATAGTTAC